AACTTGGCGCCCCGGATGCTGCGCTGTTCATCATAATAGCATTTGATAGTGCCATTACCGCAACTCACGAACAGTTGGTTGAGTTTCGGGTGCCACAGGGTCTTCACAACGTGTGAGTTGGACACCGGAATTCGCTGTACTTCCTCGTAGCTCTTTGTGCTGTAGAAATACAGGTTGGCTTCGGTCTGACCCTTGGGCAGCGATTCCCCGGTGACCAGGATGCGATCGTCCGGACTGAAACAGCAGTCTGTGGTGTCGTATCGGGAGAATAGGTTGGTCCAAGTGTGGAGCGGTTGCTTAAACTGCCGCAGATCCCACAGCTTCATGGTTTCGTCGTTGCTTCGAGTGGCCAGTTGCTGGCCCATGTATGAGAACACAATGGAGGTAATCTCGGAGCCCTTTTGATGCGCATCTCTAACGCAGTGTGTTGTGTTCACATACATTTTGCGGGTATCCCAGGTCTGAATGGAACCATCAACACATCCTGCTGCAATAAGAGTGGCGTCCCTGTTGAAGTTGCACGATGCCGCATTGGTGCGCAGACCTCCTTGTGCCCTCGTTTTGATCACCTGCACCTGCTCCTTGGCCTTTAGACCCTGCCAGATGCGTAGGGTGCCATCCAGTGCAGCGGTTAGGAACTGCTCCCTGTTAAATGGGTGCCAACAGCCCGAGGTTAACTGCGCCACGTGTCCCTTTGTTCGCGACATGTCCGAAATGTACTGGTCGCCCTTGCAGCACTCCAACTTCTCGAAGCCGTCGCGGTCGAGAACCTTGGCCTGGGCATTTCCGGAGATGACTAGGATCATGTCGCCGGTTACTGAGTATTGGAGCGAGCGTATGGGATGATTCTCGCAAGGCTGCAGCTGCCGGAAACTGCGCATTCCGGAGTCCATACCCGCAAAGTCCCAGAAGCACATGTCGTAGTCTATGGAGCCGGAGACCAAACGCGCTCCCGAAGGATCCCCAGCCAGGGCAAGGACAGCTCGGGATCCATGCTGCATCTGCACTTCGTGGGTGTAGGGTATGCGCTTTACTAGGCTCTGCTCGTCGTCTGAATCCTCATCGGAGGAGTCCTCATCGGAATCTTCGCCCCTGGAAGTTTCCTTTGTGGAATTGTCATTCTCTACCGCTGCAGCTGGTGGTAAGGGACCTATTACATCCCCATCCTCCCCAGCTTCCTTGTCTTCCTCCTCCACCTTAGACTCCTCCTTCTTTTTGTCCAACCCTGGTCGGGTTATCCTAGCCTTTTCAATCTGCTCGTTGATGTCGAATACTTTGGCCGCCTTGCGTCCGAATCCACTGATGCCCATCACCTCCTTTAGGTGCTGGCTCTCCAGATCCTCCGCCACATCCTCAATCTGGCGAATCATCTGCTGCTTGTCCATTTTCTTGAATCCCCCTCCACCACCACTGGTTTCAGGGGAATCCTTCGCATCATCTTCCTTGGCGGCTTCATTTGGTTTTGGCTCGGTGGGCGCTTTGTTAACTTTCAGCTGGATTTTCCCAAAGGAGATTTTACCACGTTGCATGGCTTCTTCGTTTAGTTATTTTAAAAAAATGTAGTTATTTTCACTTAGTTTTCTCTTATGCGGCTATTTTTTGTAAACAAAACAATTGTGTGGCCGTTTTTAAATTTGAATGCCAATTTGGTATTTTAATGGGATGTAAATCGTTTTACAGTGTATATTTGCTATATTGTGTTTTTTTTAAATCTAAAAATATTTGATTTTATTTTAACTTTTATAAACATTTAAAAAAAACATAAACTTTCAAAAACTAAAATTAATTTAAAACAAAATGATTGTTTAGTATTTTTTGGCGAATCAAATATACTGAATATTCTGCAAGCTACAGCCTCACTATTTTATTGCTAATTCGCAGCGGCGTCTAACCTAAAATTAGGCGCGCAGTGTTGTTTTATTGTCGGCCGGATATTTTTGCCAATTGTAGACAATTTCGCAAGGCGGCGTAATATATTGTTAATATTTTTTGTTATCTTGAGCAGTAGAACAGCAGGATGACGGACTCGCTGGAGTACAACGACATAAACGCCGAAGTGCGCGGTGTCTTGGTGAGTCGCAAATTTCGACCGGAATCTTGGCACATTTCGTCTGACTGAGATTTCCCTTCCCTTGCTAAACAGTCTTCCGGACGCCTGAAGCTGACCGAACAGAACATCATCTTTAAGAACACAAAGACCGGCAAGGTGGAGCAGATCTCGGCGGAGGACATCGACCTAATCAACTCACAGAAGTTCGTGGGCACCTGGGGACTGAGGGTGTTCACTAAGAGCGGACTGCTCCATCGCTTCACAGGATTCCGTGACAGCGAGCACGAGAAGCTAGGCAAGTTCATCAAGGATGCCTACTCGCAGGAGATGGTCGAGAAGGAGATGTGCGTCAAGGGCTGGAACTGGGGCACCGCTCGCTTCATGGGCTCCGTCCTGAGCTTCGACAAGGACTCAAAGACCATCTTTGAGGTTCCCCTGTCGCATGTTTCACAGTGCGTCACAGGCAAGAACGAGGTCACCCTGGAGTTCCACCAAAACGACGATGCCCCCGTGGGTCTGCTCGAGATGCGCTTTCACATCCCCGCCGTGGAGTCGGCGGAGGAGGATCCGGTGGACAAGTTCCACCAGAACGTAATGAGCAAGGCCTCCGTCATCTCGGCGTCGGGCGAGTCCATCGCCATATTCAGGGAGATCCAGATCCTCACTCCCCGCGGTCGCTATGACATCAAGATCTTCTCCACATTCTTCCAGCTGCACGGAAAGACATTCGACTACAAGATTCCTATGGACTCGGTGCTGCGGCTCTTCATGCTGCCGCACAAGGACAGTCGGCAAATGTTCTTCGTGCTCTCTTTGGATCCGCCCATCAAACAGGGACAAACGCGCTACCACTACCTGGTCCTGCTGTTCGCTCCCGATGAGGAGACCACTATTGAGCTGCCCTTCTCAGAGGCCGAATTGCGCGATAAGTACGAAGGGAAACTGGAGAAGGAGATCTCCGGACCGGTCTATGAAGTAATGGGCAAGGTGATGAAAGTGCTGATCGGCCGCAAGATTACCGGACCGGGTAACTTTATCGGCCACTCTGGCACGGCGGCCGTGGGCTGCTCCTTCAAGGCCGCCGCTGGATACCTGTATCCCCTGGAGCGGGGATTCATCTATATCCACAAGCCACCACTTCATATCCGCTTTGAGGAGATTAGTTCGGTGAACTTTGCCCGCAGCGGCGGCTCCACGCGCTCTTTCGACTTTGAAGTGACGCTCAAAAACGGAACCGTTCACATTTTCTCGTCCATTGAGAAGGAAGAGTACGCCAAGCTCTTCGACTTCATCACACAGAAGAAGTTGCATGTAAGCAACATGGGCAAGGACAAGAGCGGCTACAAGGATGTGGACTTTGGCGACTCGGACAACGAAAACGAACCAGATGCGTATTTGGCTCGTCTCAAGGCAGAGGCGCGGGAAAAGGAAGAGGACGATGACGACGGCGACGACTCCGATGAGGAGTCCACAGATGAGGACTTCAAGCCCAATGAAAACGAGTCCGATGTGGCTGAGGAGTATGACAGCAATGTTGAGAGTGATTCGGACGACGACAGTGATGCTAGCGGCGGTGGTGGCGGAGATGGCGACAGCGATGGCGCCAAAAAGAAGAAGGAGAAGAAGGCCGAGAAGAAGGAGAAAAAGGAGAGGAAGCACAAGGAGAAGGAGCGAACAGTAAGAATAAATCATTAGTAATTATAGCCTAATCTAATATTTTTTGTTCTTTTAAAGAAAAAAGCCACCAAGAAGAAGGACACAGGCAAGCCGAAGCGAGCCACCACTGCTTTCATGCTCTGGTTGAACGACACGCGCGAGAGCATCAAAAAGGATAATCCGGGCATCAAGGTAACCGAGATTGCCAAGAAGGGCGGCGAGATGTGGAAGGAGTTGAAGGACAAGTCCAAGTGGGAGGAAGCGGCGGCCAAGGATAAGCAGCGTTACCACGACGAGATGCGCAACTACAAGCCTGAGGCGGGCGGAGATAGCGACAACGAGAAAGGCGGGAAAGCAACGAAGAAACGCAAGACAGAGCCTTCACCAAGCAAGAAAGCAAATACCTCCGGCAGCGGCTTCAAGAGCAAGGAGTACATATCCGACGACGACTCCACCAGTTCGGACGACGACAAGGACAAGTCGAAGGACAATGAGCCCGCCAAGAAGAAAAGTAAAGCCACATCCGATGGCAATGCCAAAAAGGAAAAGTCCAAGAGCGAAAGCGAACCGGAGGAGAGCGAGGAGGCCAGCAATGCTAGCGATGAAGATGAGGAGGATGAGGAAGATGAGGCCAGTGATTAGGCCCCTAAACACTACACAAACTAATTCCATAAACACTCCTCACACACCCTGCCCCAAATCTAGCTTACAATCGTCTAGTTTAGTTAAGTGCTGCCTGTTGGATACAGACCAATAAGTTTATTTTGTTTAATTAAACAACAAATGGAAGTTCAAGTAATTAAACAGAATTGGTAATTGCCCATAATGATTGATATTTATCGGTTATTTTTTCGGATGACTTGCTCCGGCTATGCCGAAAATGACGGCATATGTCAGTCACTAATCGCTTTTCAGAGTCTACACTTATGGCCACGTTGACGCAACTCCTCCTTTGGATTGGCCTGTGGTACATATCGAAGGCAAGTTCCCCGTCAAGCTTGCTGGGATTATATACCGAACTTTCACCCACATCAGGTCCACGGAGTTGCCAAGTTCACAAACATTGAGTGTTTGAGTGGGGATTTGAACTTTACCACCATTTCTTTGTGCCGATTGTACGCCGTGAAAAGGGATGTGGTGGAAATGAGTTTGAGGGCCAATATAATATACTGGCCAAAAGGTCGAATAGCGGTAAGTTAGTCCCAGGAAAAAAATGATTTTCTTTAGTGCAGTTAAGTTCTTGAACATCTCGAAAACTATCCTTAAATAATAGCAACAAGTTGGATTCATTTTGAATTTGTATTTCTCATTAACGAAGTAATTGTACCCTCATTTGGGGTTTAAATTATAATCATTTACCATCTGGTTGTGCACAAAGGGGCGGTCTGCTGACTAGAGACGGCGACGGTTGGCCAGTTGACGTTGCTGACGGACTTCCTGGCCATTAGCCTCTGTCCTCGACTTGGCCAGCAGGTCCTCAACATCGTCATGGAAGTCGTCTTTCTGAGCGTTAAGCGAGGAAATACCGGTGGCAGACTCATCGTTAGACACCTTAAATACTTTTGGTTTGCGCTGAACTCGGCGATTAAGGATTCCGGATGACTGCAGCGACAAGATGCTCTTCTTCGCCAGATCGTTCACGGATTGATCCGAGCGCAACTGGGTGGTGGCCTTCGAAATGCCCACCTGGAACTCTTCAGACTTACCGTTGACGTACATTAAGCTGTCTGCAGGACTTGAGCCACTGGACAGATTCTGTGGGGACGTGCGGATCGAGGCGGATGCCGAATCAGTGTCATCCGAAGCCATGATTCCACCTCCTCCTCCTCCTCCAGTGGCGTCCACCAAGTCGTTGGAACTCACAGGGTTCGGCAGAGAGCTATTCGACCTCGACCAGAGATGGGTCATAAAGGGCAGTACAACGGTTTGACTGCGGGATAACAAATTTGTCATCGAAGATAGGGCATCGCTCAGTAGTTTGTCCTTGCCCTGGTGCAAGAAATGATCGATCTGTTCCTGCCGCTTGGCCAATATTGGACGCAGGATGGCGTCGAATATCCAAACATTGGCAGACGGAGCACTTAGGACGATCCACAGGACCAAAAGGAACTTGGTGGGCATGTAGAGCGGCAGCCACGACAAGAAGATGTCGGCCAGCACCTCGATAGTGACCAGAAAGGCGTAGACTATCCAGTACTTGGCCCAGGCCAGGAACTCCTCGTCTCCGCTGTTGAGTGTTTTGTATGTGTGCCAAGCCGGTCCCAAAGTGCCATAAACAAAGAACAGGAACCGTGTTATACAGCTAAAGAAACACATCTCGAGGATAATACTTCTGTCTTAGGTCTAGATCTAAAATATATTGGTCTGCCAGAAAGTGTTTTAATTTTTACAACAATTCCGAATTTAATGCATGTGGTAAAAAGAATTTGGCAGTTCACGATCGATGTATGCGAAGAAATCTTTTTCTTGAGAACTGTGTTGAGGGATCTAGTGCTAGAATATAAGTAAAAGGCAAAGCCTGCTAATACATAATACTCTTTAATGCTTAAACATAAAATATTTTATAATGTTCCATTCAACAAAATATAAAGACGTTGGACATTTTGGCTAAAAAGTAGTATATATAATCAATCTATTTAAGTTTCGCTGGGAACTAAATGGTTTTAAAAACTTGTTTGCCTTAAAACTCAATATCTAACATTAATATTATTCTTTTTTTATAGATGCGCATGCAGCTGCTGAAAAAGGCCAGTGGCTACAAGCCTTTTCTATACAACATCTACCAGTCGGATGTCTGCGAATATCTGGAAAAACGAAATCATCCTTTTGTCAACATTATTCTCAACAGTTTCGGCAATAGAACCAATGTGAACAAGTGCCCAATTCCAGTAAGTTTAATTCCCTTTAAAAAACATTGTGCTTACCTGTATTATTTCTTTCAGTCCGAAATTATCTTAGAGCACTTTCGATTTCCGGTAAAGGTATTGGATAGGATCCCCCTACCATCGGGGGACTATGGATTATTTACCACATTTAGTTTCCTTAAAAAGGAATTAGTTCAGGTTAAGGTTTATTTTACACTTACAGAATATCGCTGAAAGTACACCATAACACATGAACCCAATCGCGGTGCAATAAACCAATTAATAAATTTGCCATAAATTTGTTAACTGACCGAAAAAGAACTTTCCGATTTGATTATCCCATTGTAAGCGTAATAAACGGATTTTAATTAAAATTATTAATGAGTGCATTTAATTTGAGTTTAATATATAGATGGTTCTTACACGTGGAAATTGAATTTGTTAAAAAACGAAAGCTTATGCGGGTAATTTTTTACTGTTCCAAGGTTAAGATCATTGGCTTCCGATTCAGATCGATTTTCTGCCGAAATTTCTTTCACACAAAGACCTATAAAGATTTGAATATACATAATGACCCTGCCCAATGCTGAACGCTCATGACATTTCGGATAGGCATTCAAAAAGCCATCAAGAAAAGGTTCCCATACAATTCACAGACATTTCGGCAATTCAAACCGAAACTCCAAATCAATTGTAATTGTGTCTAATAAATGAAATGTTGACGGAAATAACGCAGCAAATAATGGAGGGGCAGAGAGGGGAAGGGGAACATTACGTGTGCGATTGTAAAAGGCAAAAATCACAATTACCAACATGCATGCATAATTAATTTGTGGGTCAATTGCAAAAACTTGAACTTCCATTCAAGTGGCTTTGGCTCTGAGCTCCACTGGGGTGTCATCTTCGTTTTGGCACATCGCCTAGGAAGTAATTTTTTGTGGGATTTCGGGATTTGCATAAATGCTGCCAATTAATTTTCTTATGCAAATTAATGACAATCAATTAGCGATGCGAGACAAAGCCGATTTATTAATTGCACATTATTATTGTTATTTTTTTTACAAAATATGTAAATGAAAATTTTTATTTCGCACTTTGTTTTGTTCTTCTCGTTGTTTTTTCGATGCTGACAATGGCAATGCGCGCTTTATCGCTGATTAACCCAAATTTAAATGGAGCTTACCCCAGCATTCAATCTGAGAAGTGAGAAAAGTCCAGCCAAAGGCTAAGGAACTTTGGTACAAAGCTAATGACACCTCGATGTGGGTGCAGGCAGCTGATGAAATTATCTCTTTATGTAAATGATTAAGGATTGTACTAAAGACTCATGTGCCTGAAAATATTAGAATCATATATGGGGAAATGAATATTTATATTTATTGAGGTTTTAATATATCTTAAAGAAGTTTATTAAGTGGCATGCTTTTGTTCTATATATATATATTTTCATACCCGTTACTCGTAGAGTAAAAGGGTATACTAGATTCGTCGGAAGGTATGTAACAGGCAGAAGGAAGCGTTTCCGACCCCATAAAGTATATATATTCTTGATCAGGATCACTAGCCGAGTCGATCTAGCCATGTCCGTCTGTCCGTCTGTCTGTCCGTCCGGATGAACGCTGAGATCTCGGAAACTATGGGAGCTAGGCTATTGAGATTTGGCGTGCAGATTCCTGAGCTTCTTACGCAGCGCAAGTTTGTTTCAGCAATGTGCCACGCCCACTCTTACGCCCACAAACCGCCCAAAACTGTGGCTCCTACAGTTTTGATGCTAGAATAAAAATTTTAACATAAGTGTATTCTTCTCATCAATACCTATCGAGTGACTCGAAAAAAAAATTGCCACGCCCACTCTAACGCCCACAAACCGCCCAAACCTGTGATGGCCACAGTTTTCATGCTAGATAAAAAATTTTAACTGAAATGTATTAATCTCGTCAATACCTATCGATTGATCCAAAAAATTTTGCCACGCTTACTCTAACGCCCATAACGCTTAAATCTGTCTACCGCCGGTAGGTGGCGTATTTAAATCTCGATTTGCTGCTTGCATATCTCCATTTCCCTTTGGTCCCTTTAGCTGAGTAACGGGTATCTGATAGTCGAGGTACTCGACTATAGCGTTCTTCCTTGTTATTTATCAATTCTCTTTTTTCAATATAACTTGAGTAATAAATTCATTAATAGCTATAAGGACAATTTAATAAACACTAAGTTTTAATAAAGTTAGGTAAAGTATTTGTCATAATTTAAGCTTTGCGCTTCTGGCACCTATCATTTATTTTTAATGCGCTAAATAAATCTCCTTCCTGTTAAACAAAATTAACGCTTATTGTTATATATTGACCGGCATAATCAAATTAAATTCAGGAAATTAATAAAGTAATAAATGTTTATTAAATTACATACTCCTTTATTTGTTCTTGAGTCTGATTTGACCCCCATCGAGAAGTTATTAAAGCCCCAATGAACTGAATGGGATCCCTGAAAGATCATCGATAAACAAAATTGAAACAAATTGCTTTACAATGCGGTGACGAATGCGTCATTTACATTGCGGTTGTTATTGCGAATTTGCCGAGTTTCGGATTTTGATCAAGATTAATAGTGTACTAATTGCATTAAGATTGCTGCCAGCAACATTCCCCAAAAAGCCGCAACACGCGTCTCTACCGCCGCAGCAAGTTCGTTGCTTCAGTCTTTTGTTTTTATCCCCGCCGTTTGTCGTTCTCAATTAATCAGCCAAATCCCGACGAAAAAATCCCTGTAAGTGTTCTGCTTTGCTTTCGACAATTTATCGAACAGAATGTTGTTCGCCAATTTGTAATTACAAGGTGGGCCATTGGCCAACAAATTGCTACTGATCGGATCGGATCATCGATTCCTGGCGCCGATCCATGAATCAATTAACACGATGCCCCGTCCTCTTGAACTGCATTGAACTTTTCTAATTGAAGATTAATGGAGAGTCCCGCCGGTGTGGCAGCTGCTTCTGTAAACTTCCCAAAAATGAATCACCTTTTAGATTTCGGTTAATCCGAACAGATCAGATTCCGCATTTAATCAGTGACGTTTGCAAGGGCAATAAAGTAAACAATACTAGAGTTCAAGAATCTACTTGGGATGACCTTAGTCGCCGAGATTGATATGTCTTCCCATCACCCGGCTGTTGATTCTCTAATCTATTGGTTAAATACTCGATGACATTGTGCATAGAATCTCGGTCCAGCCTATCCAAGTTTGTTTCTTGGAAAAAATCCCTCTTGCGTAGATCGGCTTGATCCAATTCGATCTCGGCCATAAGATTTGAAAGTTCTCTTTTCAACAGACGGTTGTTGACCCTCGGTCCTCTTTGCTCATCCCGATCTTTTGGTATAATTGTTTTAACCAATTGAGATTGTATAAGGGTGCCGTAAAGATTCCTACCGATAGTTTGATGCCAAATATAACCCTGATCGATGACTGGCTCCAGCTTCACCATAACGTACTTCCTGATTGCATTAAATAGGTGATTGGTGCTGTACGGGGCACTAAACCAGAGACCTACGGACAGGATCAGCTTGAGGGCAGCATAGAAGGGCAGTCCACCTATAAGAAAGTCCGTAAGAACTCCAAATGCCTGCAGCAGGGCGTGGATCACCCAATATTTTAGCCAGAGTACGATGAAGTGACGTTGGCCGTGGCTAAAAGCCCGCAAGGTGGTCCAGCCGGGTAACAGGGTTCCATAATAAATATATATTAGGCGCAGCATGTCCAAATTTCTCTTCGATACAAAATATGGAACTTACAAAAAAGAGTCGAATTTGTATTCTTTAAAACTATGTCTGATAAGCTGAGAATATGTGAGTTGAATCATTTGGGCAGACGTTATAATCGGTGTTTGTGGGATTGTGAGTTTCTCAGTTGCTCAGTTGCCACCAAATATAATAAGCAATCGATGCCAGCACTGGTTTCCCACTGAAAATGGTTTATAATGATTGTGCTCACATTCCAAAAAAAAACCGAGGGACAATCAAATAATTCCTTGTCACTTCCTAGACTCGGCTCTGGGAGCAATCAAAAAATCTGTGGCCAGCACTTGGCCATCAGTGGCAACGCTGATCGGCGGCGGTTTGAACCGGGCTAAGTGCCTTGGGGCTTTGCCTGCGGCTTTCGCAAGACCAGGAGCCAGAAAAACCATGGGTATCCGTGTGTGTGCTCGCCTGTCTTTAAGCCAGCTTTATGCATATTTATAGATTTGTTTGGCCGACTAACAAACCAAAATAAAGCAGAAGAGAGGAGGGGAGAAAGAGACCCAGTTTATGGGCCAGATTGTATTAATGGCGGCGCCTTTTTGGCCAAAACGGTGCCAGTGCCGTTGGTCCACTGGGCATTCGGTAGTTGGTAGTTGGTTCGACCTGACATAATGGAAATAATAATATAATCGATTCGGCGGCAATTTTGTTCAACTTGTTCAGCCTGTCTGCCCCTTAAATTGATGAACATTTCTTCAGTTTAAATCGGGACTCGGTTTATACGCTTCACTTGTTTAATACTCCTTTTTATATTCACCCGATCTTTCTTTAACCAGATTAGTTTGTTTAGTTGTTCGGCTTATTACATCATTTAAATAAACCAAACCAAATGTTTGGTTTGACAATTTCGTAAACATTTCGTTGGCGGATTTTTGAGATTTCCAAACAAAGTAGCGTGAAATGTTGAAAATTATGCAAATTTTTACTGCTTTTCTTTGTTTATATTTGTAGAAATTTGGGGGGGAAGAGACTCACATAAATATTTAACTCAGCTGGGATGTATTTTTAAATGGGTTTTGATGAGCTTAGTTTTTTATGTTTCTTTAAATGTCTTTTATTTATCATTTGTGTGTGTTGACGCCTCGTTAGCTCTTGCCATATGTTTCTGAGGGGATTACAAGCTGGGTCCAATGATCTGTTAACCTCTTTACCGGAGATTCGTTTCCCAGCTGCGGTTGCCCAACGCACCATCTTTCTCCACCTCTTTTTGCATCCAATTTTTGGGTAACCGATGCGGGCAGATTGACATTGACCCTTTGACATGGATAAGTATGGGAATGGGCAATGAAAAACTTGTAATTTGATTAATCGAACAACTTGTAAATCACATTTTCTTCAATGACCTCCAGACTTTTATTAAAATATTTTAGGGGCTAGCCTAAAAATATCGCACAAGATACATGGAAAATCCATCCAATTGTTGAATTTATCAAAAAACGATTATTTTCGAAATAAGGCAGATATGAATAATTCAATGCCTGGGAAAAAAGGTTGAAATTCAGACTGAGCGGGGTAGGTTATAAGTGGTTTGAAAGGCAGTCCTTTGGTCAAAAGGCTGGGAATCAATTATTGCATTGTTTTGAATTTAAAATGTGTAACACACACAACAACTCATGCAACCTCTTCCCAGGAAAATAAAACACGTTTAGGGTTCAACAATTTTCGAACCTGACAAAAAGCGAGAACAATTGTCAGTAAGCCAAAAGAAAAGATGTCAAATAATGCTTAATGCATGCGATGCACTGTGAGAAAGGCAAGTTTTAGCCAATAAACAGCGTACATTTAAGGTAATGTAAACAAATGCATAGTAATTAACACGAAATCCGCATAAAAGTAATGGGTTCAATTGCCAAAACGAAACCTGTTCGGCAAGGCTTAAAGATCGGTGATTTGGGGGAGGGATCGGAATTGGGGGGGTGCCCATGGATTGCAATTCACAGCTCATTAATAGATGGGTATCTCTTAGTTCGAGTTAAATGTCGCTTGAAATGTTACACTCAGATATGGGATCTGCATGGTTTGCTTGCCGCATGTAAATGAGGTGGATATATTGCGCGGTATGGTAAGTGGGAGGATGAGTCTCGAGATCTCGGATCCCACATCTCGTGTGCCTCCTTTGAGTCATTCGAAAGATCGGTTCATTGCCGTTTCACCCAAAAAGCATTTGATTATCCTGATGATGCACAGCTGCCGGGCTTACGTAGGCAGTTCACTGTGCCCTGATTTTACTCGGAACCCGGCCCATTGAGATCTTCACATCGATCTCCCAATGTGTGACAATTACCTTTTTAATTGGGCCAGTTTGAATGGAACGATTTGATCTTAATATTTTATATGCCTCATATATTCACGTGGGAGTTAAATGAGTTTTCATCAACAATTTCGCAGCCGCACTGCCATTGAACTTGGTGTGAATAAACGATTTTTTCTAACACTTTTGAAGAATGGTTTTGGTTTGCTTTGTCTTGGCTTTGAAATGGGGGAAGTGACTCGAATGGAATTTCAGATTAGATTGCTGAAGTGGGTTAATCATTATTAGGAGATTTGGGTATAGAATTTTCAGATTAAGCCTTCAAAGTACACTAGGTCATTAAAGCGGCTAAGGAAATAATGAATCGCGATGCAGCACTAAAAAAACAAAATCTTCAGAATAAAAACGACTACAAAGACTGGTTTCTTTTTCTGTTTTTTCCTACCATTTATAAAGCATAGAAATATTATTAATTATTTGTAAAATATACAAGACCCATCATCATATTACACCTTCAAAGTACACTAGGTCATTAAAACGGGTAAGGAAATAATGCTAAGTGATGCAACCCAAAAAATAATAAAAACTTAAGAATAAAAACGATTGTAACGATGGCGTTTTTTCTGTTTAACTTCCTACCATTTATAAAGCATGTAAATATTATTAATTGTTTTTAAAAAAAATATTTAAGACCCATCATCATATTAATCCTAAGATTACATATACATTTTTGTTGATGCTACAGCTAATGAGTTTTTTAGACCGACCTCTCACTGCTATATATCAACCGTTAGACATGGATCACGATTTTAGGAATATGATTTGTTCTATACCCGATTTCCCGTACTAAGTGTCGTTCCCGTACTAAATGTCAATGCCCAAATGATACCTTCCTAATTAATTCTACATTCGATTCGCCAATTAAACAATGTCAAATGTTTCAAAACGCTCGTAACATTTTCACTGCGAAGATGCCCGCCTAAAGATTGATTAAAGCAAGTCTTTACAACATTAATCAGGTGGGTTTCACTCAAAGAGTCATTCAACGTCGACTGGGGTGGAAATGTGGCTTAAAACTCACTCAAAAGCTGGCTCAAAAGCGAAGCTCCGAACTATGGAACGAAAAATGCAAGTGTTTTATGTTTTCGCTTTCGTTGAGGGAGCTTTCAAGGCTTTTGGCTTATAGCCACAGCAGATCTAGCAGTTCGGTTTTGGCCCCAAAGCTCCGCTCTCGGACCGCCGATGGTGCCATCCCGCTCTGGCAGCCAACTTTGGATCGGTTTTGGACTCTGTGGAGCGTTCCAAGCGATCGTTAACTTTAGTGTGCGCCGACCTGTTTCCGTAGACGGCCACAAAAAACCGTCAAAGACATAGCCACCAACTCTTTTGGACTTCGATTTCGTTTTCGAGAAACGGGCACTAAAATAATAACTTCAAAAAAATTCCCAAAAGTGACTGTTAACCAGCTGGAAAAAAGATATATATCTATAGATATATTCAATCTTAAGCAAGATCGGCGAGCTTGTGACGTCAGCGTGGCTCAAAAGTGCAATTATTCCAGCAACAAAACAAAGCTCAATTTGCAATCGCCCGCCCCGTTTTACCCCGTTTTCGTAATCGCATCGTGCAAAAAAAGAAAATCAAGAAATTATTAAAAAAGTGAATCTGGCGACTTGGCATCTCGCTCGCACTCTTAGCCATTCGTACCGCTGCAGTCGACGTCGACGTCGCTGTCGCCGCGCTCTTCATTGTTTATGTTTTTTTGTGTTCTTCCCCCCAGATTGGCGGGGAAGTAATAATAAAAGCAATGCGCTCGCAATGAAACGAAATTGAGTGAAAAAGTAAATTTCGTTTACGAAAATAAAGTAAAAAAAAATTACAAGCTCATGAGAAGAAGAAAAAATTCACTGCCAAGCAAATTTCACGCCGTATTTAATCTTTGCTCACTGACCGCCTCCAGCTTAATCGCTGCTCGTCTTTCTTTCCGTTCTGTTCCGTTCGCGATCGCGAGTGTTCTGTGCCCCGATTCTGGATCTATAGCTTTACGGCTTTACTCCCAGTAACGGCCACCGATCTAATCCGACCACGATCCGTATCTGTATCTTTGTATCTCGATTGTCGATCCTCGATTACCGGGCTGTGTGTTCTGAAGATAGCCGCGTCGCGTTTTTCTTAAATTCAGAACAGCACTCGGAACAGCTATCGTTGAAATTTGCCATCCCCAAACTTGAGAAATTCCGTATCACTTCACCTTGATAATGATAGTGCTCTGTGAACGCATATGAAAGTGCTGTAGAAAACTTAAAAATAACATAAAAATCCGTTTGGTTCGCAACATTTGTTTGGCCAGTGAAGCAAACAGGATCAAACTTAGGTGAGTTAGTAGATAATATTTACAGGGACTACTTAAAATAATGGTTAAAATTGACTGATTTATGAAAAATACTTGGAAGGTTCTTTTGCAAAATTGTTATTTTTATGGAATTTCCTTTTGAAAAATAAGTTTTGTGAAGTTTTGTATCTATTTTTAAAAAAACAATAAGATTTGTAATGAAAGTTCAGTTGGAAATTTTCCATTAAATCTTTAAGTACGTATTACAAACTTTTTTTTTTAAATTAAACAAAACCTGAACCAATTTAAATTTATTTACTACGCATCAACCAGTTAAATTTATAAAGAAAATGTTGTATAAATTAGATCATCATTTTGTAGATTTATATATCTAAGAACCCAATTTTAATCGGTTTTGTCTAGTTCCCTTATATTTTTTCAATCACAAAGCTAAACAAATATCCAAATCTCTTATAGCCAGCAC